GCTCCCCCCGCTCCGGGGGCCGCAGCGGCTCCGCGCTGGCCTGTCCCAAAGGCAAAGAGCTGCTGCCACCTCCCGGCCACCCAAATCCCCCCCTGTCCAACTCCCTTCCCAGGGCCTTGGGGAAAAAACGCACGTTTTTTGGATAAACAAAAGTGCCCGCCGACTTTTTCATCTTCCCTGCCGCGATCCAAGGCCTTTCTAAGCCCATCCATGAAGTGTTTCTGCCTTGGTGCTCCAGCCCAATTTGCTGCATCTGCCTCGCACCCACTCAGAAACTCCCCGCAGCATCGATCAACCCCCTCCTGCACTAAACGCTGCATCTTAAGGACATCATCGATTTTTTCCTCCAACAAACACAAGTTTCTCCCCCTGCCCCTCCTCACAGTGTGACGGGGGATTAAACAACTCGCTCCAAGCAAAGCATTGCCTAAAATGAGTATCTTTTTCTTCCAAAGAACTTGAGATCCCAAGACGCAGGCGAGAAATACTAGCCACAAAAATCCTGCATCTCCCTCACAGCTCTGGCAGCGAAACCTTGTTTGGCTTCATATGCAAGATTTTCCATGCCGGGCTCCAACGCAGCTCAATTCCACTAAGCCCACATCTTGTTTTTCTACTGACAAAGTGAGGTATGATTCTTGGCTCGGTGATTTTCTGCTGTGGAAGACTAAATGAAAAGATGCTTTTAAAGCTCATTCACTCAACACTCAACCCAAAACCCAGGGGGAGGGTCAAATGGAAATTCGCTGAAGTTATCAGGCAGGCTTTCTGCTGTATTTCTTTTATGGTGGGTATTAGGCTGGAGAAAATTAAATGAAGACACAAGTGTTTGTTAGGATGCTGCTGAAGGTTGAGCCGACCAATGAGTAAAATGGCTAAGTCATTTAATTTATTTTCTTGCAAAAAGCTTGCGTTTGAGTCATTGTGATTCCTGAGGACACCGCTCTCCATGTTCATTTTGCCTGGACCTTTTAATTTATAGCATAACAGCATTCTACCTTGTAATAAGTGCAGCCACATCCATCTCTGCGGCGGGAGTTAGCGGCAATTTTCTTGCTCAAGGTCACCCGCGGTGCCGGGGGATGTTGTCACCCATCGCTGTCCCCCATGATGTCTGCTGCTTGTGGAGGTGACATCATTGCTCCCTGCATCTCCTGCCTGTTTCTCCCCGCTCAGGGGGTTGCTTTGCGGTTGTCCTGGTTGCAGAGTTCGGGTGTTGTCACCGTGTCACACAGCAGGCTGTTGGGGCACCATGGGGTGTCATCAGCCACCAGCCTTGGCCAGGCTCCAACACAGCCCTCCCTGCTCCAGCCCTTCCCTATCCAACCCATGGGGAGCAAGAAGGACCTTCCCTGGGCTTTCCCATCCTGGGGTTATGGAATCATTATGGTTGGAAAAGACCATGGAGTCCAACACAGCGTGAGCCGCTGCCCGGGATGAAGGAAGCTGCAGCTTTGCTGCACAAGGAGCAGGTTGGCAAAGCGGCTCCGAGGAGTTTGCAGCCACCAGCGTTGGCCCCCATTGCTGCCTGAACAGGCACATCGGGACTTGGGTTCCTGGGCGATCCGAAGACATTACCTAATCCTTTGAAACCAGATCCTCCCGTCAGACTCCAGTTGGATGAGAAAAGCTTGCTCTGGCCTGTCTGTTCCTGCTCCAGAAACGCTTCCCTCCTCATGGCAAAGAACGTGCTGGGCACGGTTTCCTGCTATCTGGAAGGAGGAGGTGGGTCCCCAAAGCCCCCGCGGATTAACCCCTGCTTGGGAAGGCCAGGCCTTTACACACTGACATCCTTTGCTTTTATTTTAGAAGGATGATGCATCTGCCATCTTCCTGCAGGAAATTCCTGTGTCTTCTGCCCTGCGGAGTCAGACTTGTCCCTTGGAAAGAACTCACAGGCGGGAGATGCCTGGATGCAGCCCAGGAGTGTCTGCTGGGACTTCCAGGTGTGTTTTCCACACCAATTCGGCTCAGTTCAGCCTTTAACTCCATGTCCCCGGGCACAAAACAGACCCGTCTGGCTGTGGCAGAGCAGCGTGGACATGGGATTAGCTCTCATGGACTGAATCCTCCTCATCTTCAATGGATCGGAAACATTCCCTATGTCCAGAGCCACTAGCAGCATCCTGTGGCTGTGGCTTCCCTGGTGTGAGGGATGGGAGAAGGTTTGCAGGAGACACAATTTGTGGCTGCCTCTTCGCTGCTGTCACTCCAGCCATTTCACCTTAAGAGACAATAAAGATGAAAGACAATAATAAGCAGCCAGCCACCATCTGGGGGGAAAGGCTATAATTTCCTGTGCCAGGGCTGTGGGGAGTCCATGTGAGGCTGGAGTTATTGACAGGAAGCCTATATGGTTTGTTTCTTACAGTACTTACGTGCGTTTGCAGCAGTTGAGGGTGACATTTTTAAAATCTAAAAATATACAGCCAGTAGCAAACTCCCAGCAGCACGGAAGGCAGGGGAAGAATTTATGCCCGGAACGGTTTGAGCTTTAAGACAAGCACATTTGCAGGAAAGGCTTTGAGAGAGATGGGAGCCATCCCTGGCTGCTGCTGTCTGGGTTTTCCTGGGGCTGCCGGGGTCTCCCTGTTGTGCTTCACGGAGAGACGTGGTCCTGGGGTCCGGCTCTCATTTCTTTACGGGAATTTCAATCAGGAACAATTCCATCCAGTGCAGGGGCCTTGCTGCCAGATCAAACAGCAGCAAAGGAAGGAACCGGGTGTTTTTGTGCAGTCTTAAGTTGTGATCACTGAACCACCCTGCGCCTCCACTCGGACCCTGGGATGGGGTTTCTGCTGCTTTTATGTCCCTTTAAGCAGGAACATCCTCCAAGCAGGTGCCACTGCTGTGCACTGATCCTACAGACCTGGAAACCCAAGGAATCTCTCCTCTGCTGGGATCCGAGGCATTTTGTAACCATTTTTTTTCCCACAAGGGGCTTCAACATCTTCCCTTCTCTTCTAGACTTGGCCTCGGGGGGGTGGGAGGAGGTGGCTGCAGGAAATGCAGGGAATGACTCATCCCTCCTGCCTCTGCCAAGGGAGAGCAACCAGCCAGCGGGGACGGGGATGGCAGCGGGGCAGGATTTATGGCCACGGAGCCGGCACCCGCAGTGAGAGCAGCAGCCCCGTGTGAGGCTCCACACGTGACGTTTAGCGGGTTGCACGGCCCTCCCTCCTGCCCAAATCATCCTGGGGCCTCCCGACCTTCCCCAGGGGCTTTGCCGTGTCACTTCCATGCCCGTCTGTGGGACTGCCCTGGCACGGTCATCCCTGCGCCATTCCCCCATTCCGATCGTCCCCAGGAGAGGGGACATGCACAACACCCACGTCATCTCTTCACAATACCCATGTCATCTCTTTTTGTATTCTTATTGTCTCTATCTTTACAGCACTTTCTCCCAGGCAGTTTTTCAGGCCAGTGGGAAGAGGACAACGAGCACAGAGATGGGAGGAGAGGCTTCCTGCAGCGGGGAGGAATGGAGTCCTGCTTTCCCAGCTGGCTTGAAGCAATCTGCACGTAACTATTAAAAATGTGATCTTCATCTCTGATAAATGCCCATCCCAGCTATTCAAAACACTTTGCTGCTTGCCAGCCATTGTCATTTAGGCCCTTTCCCATCCTGCTGGCCTTTTGCTCCCATCTCCTGATGCTCCTGCCTTTCTCAGTGTCTCCACGAGGGTCCGTGTGGGAGGCGGCCACTTTGTGGGACACTGGGGTCCCCGGTCATTGGGGAATCTCTGTTCCCCTCTGAAAGGCAGTGGGGTCTTTGAAACCACTTTGCAGGGGAAGGCTTGAAAAACCGCGACCCAGCTGCAGTCCTGAGGGTTCAGACAGGCCCAAGGAAGGAGGACACGTATTTTCTGTTCTGAATCTCATGATTTAATAATGCTCTCATGGTTTGGGGATGCTCAATTTTGAACATGCTGAGCTGAGGGCTCCAGAGAGCAGCTCAGATCAGCAAGCCAGGCTCCTTGGTGTTTGGGGATGCTGTGATTTAGCTGCTGCTGGGGTACAACCCCCTGCTGCTCTGTCTGCATTAGGGAGCGGGAAGCTTGCAGTCACCTACAGGAGCGTATTTACATTTTCTCTCTGACGAGAAGCGAAGGAGCACCCTGGAAAACCCTTTTCCTGCTGCAATAGGCACTCACTGTGAGAGAAAGTGCCATGGCCTCTGTTTTCGGTCAGCCCCGTTCGCGCGCTGTGATGGATGGGGCCCGGGGACATGCGATGCCTGTAACAGCCAAATCACTTACCTTGAAAATGCAAACCTTATGGAAAGAGAATCAATAATTTCTGGGGCCTCGGTTTTGCTGACACGCGGCCCGAGCCCGCAGGAAATAAACCCTTTGTTAATCTTTCTCCAGAGGCGCACAGGCTCCTATAAAAAGCTTCTGGAGTAAGTAACTAATTACAGCCTGCGCGAGGCTCCAGTCTGTCACCCCGACAGCTCTGTGGGAGAAGGGGCTGCAGCCGCTGCCGGCCGGGATGATGGACGAGTGTGCAGGAGCTCTTGGCTTCACTCTGAAAGAGGAAGAATTAATGGGCAAATAAATTACAAATCAATTATTAAACCTCAGCAGCATGCAGGGCCCTGTTCAGACTGGGTATCAAATATACATTTCTAATTAACTCAACAACTCTTCTCTGGTGGGCACTGGGTGCTGCCTACTGCTAGAAATATGATTTTTTTTTTGGTCACAAATCTAGATGCAATCTTTTATTTGCCTCTTCTTGCCTACTGAAAGAGCTCCAGCCTTACTTGTGTAAGAAGCAGTTTTTAGGCCTAGGCAGAGCTGAGACCTCCCCTAACTTTAGGCTGATTCTCAAGGCTCAGCTTCTGGTCCAGCATAGACTCTCTTGGCTCTGGGCGCGGATGTAAGCTGAGATGCAAAGGAGCCAGAATAGCTCACCCCAAATCCCCAAATAAAATAGAAGTCCCTGCTTGCTCTGAACTCTGTTGTCAACCAGAGGTTTTGAGCGTAACCATCACCTCGTACCTGTTCCGATGTCTAGACAGAGCCCAGGGGAGGTTCTGCTTGAGGCGCTAAGGAAACAAGAGGCCTCGGCAGATGGGCTGCTGCAGTTAAACGCCCACCTCTGCTCTCCTTGGATGAAACGTGTCCTCGAGTTATCAGTGCTCTCCCAATTTCAGAGCTCTGCTCCTGAACCACGTGGAGGAAAAGCCCCTCAGGGACTTGGCTGCCACTGGCGTGTGGAGGGAGGGTGTTTTCCTGGGTTTGGGAATGGAGTTAATGCTGGAGTCGCTGCACTGCCAGGCCCCAGGAAGGAGCTAAAGCCCCACAAAGCCCGTGCTCTGGACCAAGGCAGTATTTCTGCAGCTCGCTAATCAATTATAATCCTTAGACAAGCTCCCATATGGCACCTTTATAAATCATTCTCTGCAGTTATCAAGCCTGTCTTATTTGCGTGACATGAGCTATAAGGAGGGTACTTTTAGGCTAGTGTTGACTCAAGTGCACAGAATATGATTTATTTATATAGTTTTATAAAAGGGTTTAAATAGCCAAGATCCAGGTCCTATGGAGCTAAAAAAAAAAAAAACTAAAGACTGGTTCTGCAGCCTCTGCTTGGCATTTCTTCATAGCAAGCCCTGGTCACACAAAGGCTTCAGATGTCCAGCCCTTAGGCAAAGGTCCTGTGTCATGGCAGGGTGTGGGCTGTGGCTCCAAGGGACACTCTGCTCAAGGCGCTTTGACGGTGGATACCTGCGACATCTGCCAGGAGCAGAGATCCCTGGGGACCGGCAGGGACACTTAGACTGAAATCTGAAGGTCTAGGAACTTAAAAGAAATAGAGGAGGGCAGACAGAGAGGACAAAAGCTCTGAGGAAAAAACAGAGAAAGAGGAGCTCTTTGCCTCCCCCTGTGAGTAGAAAAGAGCACGAGGTTTTTGAGCATGTAGGACTTTATGGGATACGTTCACTCTGACAGTACCCCCAGTGCTCTGTTCACTAGGTTTTGACTCCCTTCACTATGTATTTGCTGTGGTCACTCTTGTGCTGCTGTAAGCTTTCACAATTTACTCTGTTTTTGCCTATGACAGGGCTGATCTATACTAATTCTCTCTACCCTACAGAGAGGCCAAGCATTTTGGTGCCAGGTGCTGTGCATTTTAGCCCTTCTTCCACACAGGTTTTTTTCCAGAATCCTTAATGCCAGGAGTGGGAGGGGGCCTTATTTCCACTGCTGATAAAGTTGAATACACAGCAATCCTTCTTTTTTTCCCATGGGAAAAGCTCAGTCTGAAGTGAAAATCCAGAACATCAACTTGGCATTATGTGAGAGGAGGATCTCACTAGGCTTGGTGTGTTTATATAGTTTATACAATCTGAAGAGAAACCAGAGCATGGAAACCAGTGTTATTAACCTGTGTTATGGACGGGTTTCTCAGGAAGTTGGCAGTGCTTTGACAGCGCGGTTGTCATTGACCTGTGCGAACAAGTGAGAGCTTGTGCCTCTCCTGACACACTTTGAGAAGCTCGAGAAGCAGCTTGGTAGCGTGATGGTGAGTTCACACCGGGGAAGGGAGCTTTAAAACTTGGATTGTAGGTTCCCAATGATCTATGGGGAAATAAAAGGGGGAAGGAAGGAATTCTCTCTCCCCTCTGCGCGG